TCAGTGATTGTTTATTACTTCAAATTCATATTTCATTATGCAAGATTTACAATTTGTTAAGTTTTGACATAGAAATTGATCTTTTAGTCACCTAAATTACATAAGGTTAATTTAGTTAGTATTATAAAATCTCAAAACTTTATTATTCAATAAATAGTTAATAATATATTTAATAAGAATTGACCCGCCGGTCCAATCACCGGGTCACCGGTCGAACCACTGACCCGCTACATTGTCCGAGTCAGTGTCCGGGTCGGGTCTGAGAACTATGGAAATTATATATTCTCTGTTTGAGAGTAATTGATTCGGGTTCTTTTCCTTCTATGTCTTTTTTTTCTTTTATACTCTTTCGCCAGTTTTTCTTGTAAAACCGTTTGGAAATTGTTTGTCGCTCTATAACTACCCACTTGCTTCATAATGGCTGACGTGTCAAGGAATTGTCGTTTTTAAACTGCTGCCACTACTCTCCTCTTTTTAACTGCTTGCAACCGAGATTTTTGGATCATGAATTATGATAAGATTACCTAATTGCTGTTTCAATAACCGCCGCTTAGAATAACAACAGGACGTTATGTTCGCTCAGATCTTGGGCGTCTCGAAGGTTCGGGCGAGAATGAGACCGTAGCTCTGAGCGACAATAAGGTACTTCATTCGCTCATATCCTGGGCGTCCTGCAGGTTTGAGCGACGATAGCCCTCTGTTTATGGGCCTCCACTATATTTTACAATAGTTTCATTTGAGCTCATTCTTCAAATTCCCTAACTGGGCTCCATTCTTTGAACTATTTAATTGGACCTCATTTTTGTATGTCAACACAAGGAAAAGTGAATTTTCAGTAATATGAGTGTATAAAATAATCATAAATAAGAATATAATAGGGCCAGTTGGCAATGTCAGCGTACATGCAATCATATTTTTCAACAATTTTGCTATATGTACATCAAATTTGACATTTTTGTAAAGTGACTTTTTTTTATACATTGATTTCAACATCACTTTAAACAATCAATTGTATGAATTTTAACATATATTGAAATATCAAATTTAATGTACAAGTGTAGAAATAGTTACATTCATTTTTCAACTTGACAAATAATAACTTTTTGCTTCCGTGAAACCCTAAAAGGGTAAGATTCCATTGTGGGTCCCGCGAGGAATATGGTTACTCCA